GTGTATAATAGCACAGTAAGACTTTAAAGTCCAAGCGACAAACTCAAAGGCACTGTCCTTCAGAAGTAAGATCTAAAACAGCCTAACACAATTAAGCATTTACACTGGAAGCTATGTATATACCACTTCTGGCAGCAGGAAAGCTTGTGAAAAATCAACCACGGGGGTTCTTAAACTGATCTGTTCATTATTGGTTGCTCAGCAGGGACTTACTAGTCAGGTTATTACAAACCTGCTGAAAATACACCAAATAAATACTTTTCCAGGATTATTTTCCTCACATGCAACTCCTTTAGGTGTAAAAGAGTATGTTGCATGTTTTATAACAGGGAGGCCCTAATGGAACATGATTAAAATGCCACACATGCTGTGAAAGAGATCAGACACATGAAGAGGCCAGCCGAGCACACCCAGAGCATCCCCACAGCCTTCTGGGGAAAAGACTGCAATTTCTGCCCGGGGTGCCTGTTGCCTCTCAGCCATTACTCAGTAACTCCATCCTTTAGAATAATATGTAGCTAACATCAACTCTGCCTGAACAGTTCTGTGTAGCATCTGCAAAAAAGATTATTCTTAGACTCTGCTGCCCCTTTTCTCTGTTTCCAAAGCATACAAGGCAGGGAGTAAAAGTAATAAGGACAAATGGCCAGCCCGCCCTGAAAATCTAATCCTTTGATGGACCCAGAGCTGTGAGAGGGAGAGAGAGAGGAAAAAAAAAAAAAATGTTTCCCTGACTGAGCTTGGATGTTTTCCTTTCGCTTTGTAAAGTTTTCCCTGCTCAGGCTCCATTCCCTCGTCTCCTCCGGAGCAGGGCGGGATGGCGGCGGCCGGAGCGGGGCTGGAGCAGCCGGTGGAACCGGGAGCGACGGGGCCCGGGGCTCGGGGCACGGGGAAAGGGCAGGTAAGTGAGGCTGGAAAGGTTTCTTAGGGTTGGTTCTCTGAGCTCCGTGTTGAGCTGGAGTTGGGGGGAAGAAGGTGGCTGGGAAGTGGGGGGCAGCGGGAGAGCCCCTGTCCGGGAATTGTCACAAGGGGAAGAGAAACGAGGGGAGAGGGAGGGTTTTTTAGTTGTTCCTCTCTGGGAGAAATAAATGGAGGGAGGAGAATGATGTTGGTGCCTCCACGGTCTTTTATTGAGGGGAAATGTCCCCCAAGAGCTGGAGAGAGCATCGTGCCAGGCTCTGCCATCCCGGGCTGCGTGGCCACCGCGGGCGCGGGCAGGTGCGTGGGCAGGGGGCTGGCAGGGCTCCCGGCCCCCGGGGACAGCGAGGGTCCTCGGGAAGGGGTCTCAACTCCGCCATCCCTCCTCCACCTGGGATTCGGCGGGAACAGGATGTTTTGGGGTTGGCGACGGAGGTTTTCACCGGAGGCGGTTGGGCCCCATCACACACCGACGTGCCGGGGTGAAACGCGGTGGCCGCGGGGGAGAGGTGGGGTGGTGGCTCTGGTTTGGGATGTACGAATGGCTGAGTTACGGCGGGTTAATGGGTTACTGCTTCCCTCCGAGCCGGGGCCACCGGGCATGCCTGCACTCTCAGGACGGGGGAAAACACGCTAAAAAAAATAAAGCCCTTTGCAGCACTGTCACATCCACCGGTGAGCAAACAGGCCCCGGTGTTACGGTCACCTCTGGTGACATGGTGCCGTATGGCAGAGCGGGATGCTGAGACACCCCCCCATCATTTGGGGGGGCTGTGCTGACCCTGTTCCCACACGCTGCTGGCCGATGGGACTGCTGTGCCCCGCCAGCGGCACCCAAGCGTTGCTCCACCTCGTGCCATCACACATCCAAAAGCCACCGTGGGCTCCTTCGTGAGACAGGCTCCAGCCCGGGCAGCCCGGCTTGGGCTGCGTTGCAGGACTAGCTGCTCCGGCTCGCCTTGCCAGACCTCAGCTTATCTCATTCCAGAAGAGATGCATCTTTATTGCTCTGCATCTTTATTTCCACGTAGCTTTGTTGCAGCTGTGTTGACAGGAGCTGAAGCAAAAACAGGTTATCCTGTGGGTGAGGTCGTGAATATGGAGCTAAACTCCGAAAGCTGCCAGTGCTTTTGGGTACTTGGGAAAAAGCATCTGGTCTTTTTGGGGGATGGTGAGCTGTTGTGTTTCCTTGGGGTTTTGGAGCTTGGGGAGTGTTGGGGGCTTCTGGAAAAATAGGCTAGAGGGATCGGAAAGTGGGTCTTCTGAGATGGAGAGGTGACTTTAGGAAATCAAAGGCTGTGGCAGAGATGCAGCCCAGCCCCTGGCCGTGCTGGGAACAGGGAGCCTGCGCTGAATGTGAATGGGCCCGGGTGGCTGCACTGCAAGTTAATGTGTGACCTTGGCAGGAGAGGACTGGGAGCCCGCACACACTCCCACAGCCGGCTGGAGACAGGGGCTGCTCCCCTGGGGAGCCAAATAAGATTAATATTCCCAGGAATTTTAGCCTCTTGCACCCAGGGAGCTGCGACTGCTTCGCAAAGGACTGTAGCAACTGCAGGGAGCGTGCTTGGAGCAGGAGGGGGAATGTTGCAGGGTCGGCACCAGGAGCGGAGCCTGGACAGCTGTTTGCAGCCGTGCTGAGGCCAAAAAGCTGCGAGCAGGCAGGGGAGCACAGCGGGGGTGATGCCCATCCTTTGGAGAACACAAGGGAGTCGCAGGCTGGAGGAGTTCCCACAGGCGGGACGAGAGGCTTTTAAAACAAAAGGCAAATGACAGCCAGTGGCACTCAGCCTGCCCGACAGGTCCCTGAGATGTCCCTTCTCGTGGGACCCACCTCCAGCACTCGGGTCTGTGCTGGCAGGGAGGGGCAGCTCCCCAAAGCACCCTCCTGCCACCCCCCCCCCGACACCTGGGCCAGGCTCTCCTGTCCCTGTTTTTGAGGGCAGAGGCAAGCTGGGAGCATCCCTGTATCCCTTTTGCAGGCCAGCAGGGAAGAGCAATAGCAGGACTGCCCGGAGGCAGCGAGGGAGGGCAGGAAGGAAGAGGGGACAGGGATGGGGAGCAGAGGAGCTGGACCTGTTGGGGCTGCCTGGCTCCTTAGCATGGGAGGCGCGTACCTCTGTCACCGTCTGGGGCTAATTACAGGGACTTGTCTACAGTCCAGACGGCTGCCAGCCAGAGTAATCACATCAAACCAGGCTGGGCTGGGCTCTCCAGCTCTTCACAGCAGCCGAGAGCACTGCCCTCTCTCCCCCAGCATCACCCCAGTGGGCTCCCCACTGACGGCCCTGGGACAAGGCGTCCTGCTCACCCTGCCGTGGAGGCCGGGACCACGCAGGCACCACCGGCTCTGCCGCGTTCACGGCGCTTCAGAGGGGTTTAATTACAGCAAAGCCCCAACAGATTAGACAAATGCAGCTTGGAGGCTTAAGAAGCCAAGCACAGCCCAGGACTGCCATCCGCCTGCTGTGGGGAGGGAAAAGCAGGGACACGTGTTACCCAAGCAAGGCAGCCGCAGAGCTGGGACCGGTCACTGAGCCCCTGGAGGTCCCCATTCAGCATCCCCAGGGACACCTGTGATCCTCCTGTAGAGCCAAGGGTGGTTACTGCCCCAACACCAGCGGTGGTGCAGTGATCCTTCACCACCTCAGCAAGGCCAGGGCCCTCTTTGGTCTGTAAATACAGAACTGAGTGACTATTTCATCCCTATCCCCTCCAGAGCTGAGCACAGCTTTGAGCAGCACATACAGCCAGCCCTGCAGACTTTGTGGGCTAAGCCCAGGGCTGACAGACCCCAAACCCCAGAAAAGAGCAAGCAGCCCTTTTGTTTTATCCCGCTGATTAGCCAATCTGGAGCGTTAATCATTGACCCAGATGCATGGCAGGGAAACCTGAGCTGCCCAGGCTGATCCCACCTGCTCCCAGCTCCGGAACTGGCCATGTTGGGGTGAAACATCTCAGCACCCCAAGATGCTCCGTGGGAAGGGGCGGCTGTGGTGGAAGGAGAACACTGGGAGCAGGGGCTGAACCAGGGGTGTCGAAGGACATTGCAGAGAGGCTGGGGCTGGGCTCTTCTCAAAGGGAATTAGTGACAGAACAAGAGGGAACGCCTTTAAACTCCAACTGGGGAGGGTCGGACTGGGCATTAGGAAAAAAATTTTCACAGAAAGAGTGGTCGGAGAGTGGAACAGGCTGCCCAGGGAGGGGGGGAGTCCCCATCCCTGGGGGTGTTTAAGGGCCGTTTGGATGAGCTGTGGGGGGCTGTGGGGTAGGGGAGAGCTTTGTAGAGTCGGGCTGAGGGTTGGACTCGATGATCCCGAGGGGCTTTTCCAACCTGAATGATTCTGTGATTCTGTGAAGGTGTTTAGTGGGAGCAGTGGGGATGGAGCTGCTGGTGCTGGCTGAGGTGGCCCTGACAGCACGGACAGGGGGGATAAACCAGACGTAGAGAAGTACCATCCCAGTGCGGAGGAGTGGAGGGGTCCTCATGGTGGCAGTGATGCAGGAGGACCTCGGTGCATGGCCTGGGGGTTACCACCCCTCAACCCTTAGCTTGAGGCCATGCCCAGCCGCTTGCTGTGTAAAACACTTTCCAGAGCAGTTGATCCATCCACGGCGGGTGTTACACAGGGTGAATCCAGGGGTGCCCTCGGTCACAGCGCCGAGACTTGTCAGCAGCTCAGCTCCATCCCACCCGCATCCCACCCTCCCTCCCCAGGCCGGGGCAGGAAGCACAGGCAAAGGGCGTCAGGCTCTGGGCTGGCATCCAGGGAGCCCCAGGAGCCACCACATCGCCATCTCGCCTTTGTTTTGGAAAGCCAAGCCAGGAAGGAAGCGAGCGGTGAAAAGCGCCGTGTGGGGAGGAGGGGACGGGACCGGACGGGTTTCCACTGCGTAACCATTAGCCAGGCGAGGTGGTGGCGGCTGGGCGAGCTGGCTGCCCGGGCAGGAACAGCCGCTCAGGGCAGAACAATAGCAGCCTGAGGGGAATAAATTATTTTCCACTGAATTGGGCTAAACCTCAGTCTCCTCCCACTGCCCCACTCAGGGACAGGCCACTAAACCAGGGATTAGCTTGTGCCAGCAGAGAACTGGTGGCAGCCGGGGAAAACCTCCCGCTGTGGGTGAGCAAATGGCCAGGGCCGTTTCCCAAAATCTGTTCCAGCTTGAGCACGGACACCCGGGGTCTTCCCTGCCCAGCTTCAACCCATCACCATCCCTTCAGCTCCTCCTGCTTGACAAAGCCCCTGCCCTGCTGACCACCCGTGCCCTCGGTGTTATAAACCGTGAAGAGAAAGGAGCAGCCCCCGAAAGCCCTGGGACCTCTGCAGTGGTTCAGCCAAGGGTCTCGAGGTCGTAGTGGCACTGAGCATCGTCCCAGCTGGACCTGCCCCGGGGTCCCTCCCCAGGATGAGGGGCTGCTCGTCCTGCTGCCACGTGGAGACAGCGGGCAGGCGGGGTGATACGTGTCCTGGAGGTGCACCCCTCCTCCCTGCCTGGCTGAGGGTGTCCCCAGCTCTGATCCTCTCTCCCCAGCTCATGTCCCTGCCAAGCCCCGCATGGCCCCAGCGAGACGAGCCTCCCCCCTGCGACACTGCCGCCGGCCTCCCGCCGGCCTCGTCCGACAGCGACTCCGGCTGTGCCCTGGAAGAGTACCTGGAGCCCCCCGCAGACCCCCCCGAGGTGGGCAGCACCCTGGCTTTCCCGGGGCTCCCTTTGCTCCCCACTCTCCCCCAGCCCTGCGGGTGCCATCCACGGGTGGTACCCACAGCAGAGCACCCCCAGCCCCAGGATGAAACACATGTTTTAGCAACTTTGACCAACACAGCTTAATCACCCTAAAAATCTGCTCGTGTTTCTCTTTCTCACGTGACACCCCAAGGTCCCGCTGTGCTTCGGCCCCTGCTTGCCGCAGCCGGCCTCTCCTGCCGACAGGATCTTGCTCCGTGCCAGAGCCCTCCTGCAGCAGCTGCCTCCTCAGGACTGCGATGTAAGACATGTATTTCTTGGGTGCTGCCCACCCTGGGGCTTCACCCACCACCCATCCCCTCACATCCCGCTCCCCATGCAGGAGAGATACTGCCCCGACCTCACGGAGGAGGAGAGGAGGCAGCTACGAGCCTTCAGCGCCCGACGGAGACGGGAGGCCCTGGGGCAGGGGCTGGCATGTCCCGTGCCAGGTCCCTGCCATGGCTGTCCCTGCAAGAAGGTCAGGCATCGCCCCCCACCCAGCGCCCCACCCGTCCCCAAAAGCCACCCTGAGCCCAAACCCCTGCGTCCCTCTGCCTTGCAGTGCGGCAGGAGGCTGAACAAAGGCGACCCCGGGATTTCAGCGTCTCGGCTGGGGGATCAGTTCTGGCACCCGTCCTGCTTCTCCTGCCACTTCTGCCACCAGCCCCTGGTAGACCTCATCTACTTCCAGCAGGACGGGAGGATCTACTGCGGCCGGCACCACGCCGAGCTCTTCCGACCCCGCTGTGCCTCTTGCGACCAGGTGGGTGCCAGGCAGGGGAGAGGCTTTTACCCCCCTTTTGCTGTTGTTAAAAAGCTCCTGCGCTTGGCTGGGGGGCTGAAAACACAGCGAGATCTTCTGATGGGCAGGAGGTTCCTTCCTGAGCCTTGCAGAGAGCCCAGGGCACGGGGTCTCCTCCTCCCTCCTCGGCACAGCAAAGCATCCTCCGGGCTACGGGTTTTCTAGTTGG